CTACAAAGGATTGTTGGGAGTGATTTTTTATGTAAAAAAAAAAGTTTTATTATATACCTATTCTGCCGACATGTCGTCGGCTTATACTATGGTCCTCCGGTGGTGGTTAGTTGTCATCAGAAAAACACCAATTCATTAAAAAAATAGAAATCAAATATGCTACCTATTTTGTGGGTTGTGGTGGCCGGAAGGAGAAGTTGGGTCGTCAGGTGGTCCTCTGATCACAACTTCACCAAAAAACAACCAAATCAGTGAAAAAAACTATGAAATTAACAAAATTTAGTAAGCTTACCAGAAGTCGTTGTCGTCGCAAGTGAAGAGTAGTGGTTGGAAAGCAAGGGTTTTGAAGCATGAGTCTTTGTTGGGAGGTGAAGGAGCTAAGGAAACAATCTCTACAAATGAAATAAATGTCTACTGCATTCTAATTGGCTACAACCCTATACCGACGACATGTCGTCAGTATAGAGCTGTCACACGGATCTCCAGTTTTTATCCAAACAACATGTCGTCGGTAAAGCGCTGTCATACGAATCACCATTTTTTATCTCAACGACATGTCGTCGATATAGAGGTTGTTAGTAATTCTTACACCAAGGAAAATAAACAAGTCAAAACTAAAAAAATTCGTAACATATACCGACCACATGTCGTCAGCATAGGTTTTTAGTATACCGCCAAAATGTTTTTTGTTCCTACTGCACCTATGGAGATGACAAGTTGTCTGAATAGAGACTCGGGTCAATGCTATCTGGTCAAAGTAAAAAGAACGCTATACCGACGTCATGTCGTCGGCACAACAAATTTTTTACCGACGAAAGTTGTCATCGGAATAGATATCATCGGGATAGTTGTGTATTCTTGTAGTGTTTTGGCATAGATTCGACCAACTATGCACATATATTCATAATTTTTGCATTGCAGGATTTTGGTTTGGAAATCATTTAAATAATTGTCTATAGATTGATATTAAAAACAAACAACGATATATGTAGTGTCTAAACCATAAATTTCATTATTAATTAAATTAAAAGCAAAACAACCCTTTAGAAAACAACCAACCAACATCTAAAAAAAAAAGAAACAAAATCGTATCTAATAATTTTCATAGGTCCAAACAAAAGTCATAACATCCAAGAAACCAGTCTCCAAAGTTAAAAACTAAATATATGATTTTCTATGTTTCAAGTCTTATTCATTTTTTTCTTCTTTTCACCTTCTTCTCTGTTTATTATTATTATTATTATTATTATTATTATTATTATTATTATTTTCATGTTTTGTATGTGTTAAATGGACATCTCAAAACATAATTTCAATATGCCATAGAAATCCATGATATCCCCTACATAATTCATCATCGAGATCTTCTCGTTTAAAAAAAATGGAAGAAAAACGTATTCTTTTACTTATAAACCATATGTTCCATCATTATTCTCTTTTGTACCCGAGCTTCATTTGAGCCATGGTTGCCCCCTGAAAACCATGGAAGCCTCCACCATGTTACGATTCGATACCGAATTACCATGACAGCTTTCAACATTAATGGAACTTGGGTTAATCCATCTCATCCAATCATTTCGCTTCCTCATCTTCTCACCCTACAAAATGAATTTTAGTATCAAGTCCCATAACATGGTTATATAGAATTTAATATTTTTATGAATTAGAACATGTTTGATATGACTTGAAAAAGATTAATACATACCATCACTTCCACAGCTCTTGATGCCCGCATTACATCAAGAATTAGCTTAACATTGTCAGTTAAACACAAAACCTGCAATAAAACAGGGATATTAATTGATATCAAATGCAGCATAAAAAAGAGAGTGTATGAAGGGACCATTATCAATGTGGCATGATGGTGATCACTTTATATGAAACACTTTAAAATGGAGTTGACCCATGTTTGAATCTCATAAGCTTCAAAAAAAGTGTATGCATCAATTTATGCATCTTGTATATAATACTTACTTTCTTGAAGTTTGCTATTAAAGTGACATGAACCCAGCCTTGTTCGTCCATCTTTTGTCGCAAGTATAAATCTTTAACCAAATTCTCATCACCGCAACAAAGGGAAATAAGATGTTAATTGTTTTGAACTAATTATAAACTACCACAAAAGTTTTAGATATGAGAGATTATAAAGAACCTGAAATAATAATCAATTTGTTTCACAATCTTTTCATGCAAATCTTGATCTTGAACAGGTAAGGACACTGGAGACTGCATCGGTGTCATCAGGGATGCAGATTGAGTTGAACCTTGAACATAAGACGCCAAATCTGCATGTACATAAAATGCATTATACAAACAAAACAGAAAAAGGGTTGTAAAAATTAAATACATCAACCTAATTTGTATTTGCAGTTGGATTTCTTTTTTCTAACTTTGAACAACTATTAACTAATTTAACTAGATGTATTTTTCATATTACGAAGTATAAATGAATTATTTATTTAACAAGTTAGGGTTGTAAAAATACATCAACCTAATGTTAGCCGGTGTGATAAATAAGTTGAGATGGGTTAGAAAATGTAGCCCGTTTATCAAAACCAGTTTGTTTAGAAATTCATAACATGTTTAATTCCACATGTAGAGTTGAATAATAAAAAGCTTACCAGGGTACATGAAATTGTTGCCAAAAGGGGGAACTGGCACATGCATTTGTGGAGACATGAAAGAATTTGAAACAAGTGGAGAGGTTCCACGATTCACAAAACCCCTACGAAAGCCCCTCTGACGCTGCATGTTGTTAAACCTTGTATGCTGGTTCCACTCCCGATTGCCACTTGGACGTTGTCCGCCATTGTTGCCTCTTCTTGAAGAATCCATTAATCGCAACGGTTGCAGGTTTTCCAGATATTCTTTACGAGGGAGTTTCGACTTTCGGATGTATATATGTATATATGTGCATCAACCACAGGTGCTGCATTATTTAGTATTGTAGTAGGATTCAAATTATCCCACCACAGCTCTGTTTCCATATATAATACTAACGATTTCCACAAGTTTAGATAAGTTATCGCAGCTAAGGTTTATCAACATTAAGGAATTCGAATTTGTTTTTTTTTATGTAGCAAGAATTACATGAAGTACCCCTTTGATTTAGGACTTTCGCCCGCAGCTCCATGTCATTCAAATGTGCACGTCAGCCCCCCATTTTATTAGAATCTTCCACAATCCACCCTAAATAAGTGTAATTCAGTCGCCGATATTGCTTACGAGATAATTTTGTATTTAAAAATGGCCGTAATTTCTTACAAAAATTTCAAAACAAATAACTAAAAATTAATAATAAAACCCGCAAATAGCCACAATTTTTACAAGCCACTGCCTTGCAAAAATCTTGATGGCTTGCAAAAAAATTTAGGCCAATCCACTCTAAATTAATGTATTTCAATCACCGAAATTGGTTACGAGATAATTTTCTATTTATAAATGACCATGATAGCTAATCTTTTCAAAAAAAATTAAAAAATAAAAAGAAGAAAACCACCTGCAAATAAATGGATTGCACTAAAACAAAGAAAGATGAACTTAAATATGTTGTTCGGATTGCAAGAACTAAATATTCACGTACCAAATATCTCACAAGAACCGTATCAACACCTTCTTCGACTTCTCAATCACACAAACATTTAATCATTATGCACCACAAGGAATGAGGCATATACCGACAACATTTTCGGCAACTACGCAGACGACATCGTCTGAAAAACCTATATCGACGATTTTGTCGTCTGTAGAAAGTCATTGGGATATATAGCCCATCGGTAAAAGTGGAAAATGTCGTCGGGATAGATGTCATCGGTACAGAGCCACCAATGCAGACGACATGTCCTCGTCAAAGGGTTGTCAGGACTGATTTTCAACAAAAATAAAATTATTATAAACCAATTCCAATGACGGTAGACTATAAAAATGTAATTTAGTGGCACATAAAAACTGTCACTAAAAACCCAAAGAAAAATGTCACTAAAGGCCACTTGGAGAATCCGCATACAAATAAATAGCACTACAAGAAAAACATGATTTTGTTAGGGAATGCTGCTATGGAACGCATTTTCGTTGTTAATCTGCAATGAATCGTGCTATGCAATGCCATTTCACAGCAAGGTTGCCACAACATTGTCTACGAAATTTATTTCTGGTAGAATTTTTAGCAATTTTCCAATGAAATTTGTTACGAAATCATTCTCCGTTCTACTGCTACTATCGAATTAATTATCCTGGTTACTATGCAACGAACATTGTGACGGAAAACCAATTTCATAGTGGCTTTGCTATGGAAGTACCTTTCTTAGGTATTTGCTAGGGAATTCTGGTGTGGAATTTGATTTCGTTTGCTTGCTTTGCTATGAAACAAAAAGTCTAGCTAATTTGTGATGACATTTGTTACAAAATTATATTCCATAGCAACGTTGATAATAAGTAGTTCAATTTCATAGATATTTAGCTATGGAAATTTGCACTGATAATAAAAACTCGAGGAATCATCATGTTCATGATGTTGTGTTTGGTTTGTTTATTTGTTGGGATGTTGTATGCTTAATTAATTTTCTTATTCTATGGATGAATTATTATTATGATCAATGGAATTGGTAAAATATGGTTTGAATGATATGTTTTCGAATTGGTAATATATTTTGTTTGTTTTATTGTATTTTATAAGTATTTAATACTAGGAAAGAACAAACATTTGCTATTATATATGTTTATGTTATCTTGAATAATTTTTTAGCATTTCAACATAAAACAAATGGATTATAACATAACTGATTACTTAATTGGACATTTAATGAAAGTATTATACATACAAATATCTCAAAAACACATACCCCTTTATTAAATGCTTTCAATGTACCAAAGAATGATAAATTTTCATTTTATTTAATTCTCATGAAGGACACTAATACATAACATCAATTTTACCAATTCGCATGCAAAAACTAAAATCTCTACGATGTGACCATCATTTTATAAAGAAACAAAAACATCTAGTCAATATCTTCTTCCTCCTCCTCTTCTTCATCTTGTTCTTCGTCATTGCTCAATGTACTATACTCATAACTACGATCGCTGTCAGGAATAACATCATTATCGTCCTCATGAATTTCACCTTCTTTATCAATGTCATTTTCATTATCTGAACCGTTGCTTGAATGTCGTGATTATCATAATTTTATGTATCGGTTCTATTAGGTATAATGATTTCATTTGATTCAACTTCATCTTCTTGGAAAACAATGTCTTTGTGAGGATGATTTTCATCAGTCCAACCATGAGGTTTAACTTCAAATATAGCCCGCCGGTCCGAGTTGTTTGTTTTCGAACTTGGGTAAGGAATGTAACACAGTTGAATTGCTTGCATGGCTAAAACAAACGACTCAAACTTTTTTGTATTTACTTTTAACGTTTATTTCAACCAAGTTATATAGTTTCTGAACCTTAACTCCCATGTTAGGTGTTAGATCGTACCAATGACATTTAAACAAAATTGTGGTTTTAATTAGGTAACCAGGTTACTCGACTTCTAAAATTTCCTCTACCTTACCGTAATAATCACCTCATTGGCTACTAACACACAATCCACTATCGATTGTTTATTTGTTCAGACCATGAGCTTCTATTTGAAACTTGTAACCATTGACAAAGTATACACTATATGATTTCACATTTTTGAATAACATTTTGGAAAGGTCAGCTATATACTTGTTGTTTATCCGGATCTTATGTGATTATATGAAAAATGGTAAAACACTTAATTAGAGTTAATTATAACCATAACAAAAAATAATAAAATTAAAAAATATAAAAATAACACCCACATAGTTTTGAAACCATACTGCAAAGCTCTTCTCAACTTCAGCTGCAAGCTCTTATTCATCCATATCCCCCAATAAGTTCATTTAAATATTCATCAAATATTCTGTATTACCATTTCAATTACATTTTTAAAGTTACTGTGATGTAATAAACAAAATCATGCATGTAAATGTTATTCAGAGCAATTACACAAAAAAATGATTATTATACTTAAAAGTGAAGCATATGTTACTTACCTGATATAATGTTTGATCTTATTTTCGTTAAGGAGTATGTATGTTTGGGAAGCATGCACTTCCTCATCAGACAACATTCAATTCCTGAATCGTCCATAATGACAACTAGGATATGAAAATATATCTAACATTTGGTTGTTAGCATTTGGTTGCTCATCTGTCACACCCCCAAACGGAGATGGCGGAAACATTCAGGGGTAGAGGACGTCATGTACAATATCATAACAATGCAAACTAGTAAAAAACAAGAAACAACATTCATTGCATTAATAAAATAGTTAATACATATGTGTTCTTTGTAAAGTAGTATGACACCAAAATGTATAACAAAATAAAAGACGAGTCTGAACACGCTCCGTCTTCTCAAAAACCAGTTCCTGTACTTGCCTACTGGTTTCATGAGAATACAAGTTATTTTGAAAAGAGAGTATCAACATTTAAGTTGGTGAGGGCATAAAAAATTTAATCTCAAAAGTTTGCTCTTGTTTGTATTTTTTAGTAAAAATGTTTGTATCTTTCCTAGAAAATCCTATATTTCCTGCCTTTAAATGAAAAATAGTCTTCTACCAAGACCCAACTATTTGTATGACCTGTTTTTTTCTTTAAAAGTAGAGTAAAATGTATGTTTGCACTTTAAATAGTATAAATGTATGTTTTCCATATTTTGTAAAACTATCTTTTCTCAAAATTAGTATGCATTTCACATGTGAAAATATCACTGTATGAATGTACTGGAAGAATTACGATTCACAATAGTTATTGGATAAAAGACACTACTGATGCATTAACTACCTTGATAACCAAATGGTTAATTAAGGTTAAATGTGATTAGGTTGTAACCATGCTCGATAGACTAGTATATAACGCGAAGTTCTTTAGACGTCGAAAATGAAATGAAATTTGTCACCCACAGACCTACAGGTCCCACTATAGCTAGCAGTGAGGTGCGAAATTGTCAATCATGTATAGATCTATACACAAACTCACGCTCTCCCTCTAGGAGACTCTGATTAGAAAACGTGACATGGCAAGTGTATTGCTATGTTATGAAGTAGTGGCTCACATTTTAGTTATCTTGTTCTTGTTATAGTATGTAAGTTCCTTCTTATTCTTCTAAATGTATAGTATTCTTTGTAATGAATAGTAATAGTATGTATGTACTGACGCATATTTTGTTTCTCTGTTCTAGTAATAGTATGTAATGATCCTCTAAACTATACCTATTATAATTAACTAGTGTATTTGTTTGAATGGTTACTGAAAACACTTAACTTGTCTAATGTGTACAACTGAGCTTAGCATATTCCTTGAAAATAATGAGATTTAATATTCAGGCATATATTTAGCAAGTATAACTATGATTTAACCGACAGTCGGACTAGTGATCCTACCATAAGCTCGACATATATTTAGCAAGTATAACTAGGATTTAACCGACAATCGGACTAGTGATCCTACCATCAGCCCACAACCAAACAAGGAACAGGAGTTACGGTATTTAGCAATAGTCCTAACACTACTAGAAAAATAGCCTTTTATGACGCTCATTGCGCGTCGTAAAAGGCTCAGACGATGCACAAATGCGCGTCAAGGAAGGCCCTATCATAAAGAGAAACGACGCGTTTTTGCGCGTCATCTATAGATGACGCTCATTTACGACGCGCAATTATGACGTGCGTTTACGACACGCAATGCGTATCAAGGAAGGCCCTGTTATAAAGGAAGACGACACCTATTCGCATTTCGTAACCTTACGACGCGCGTGTTAATGACACACAATGCGTATCAAGAAAGCCCCTGTCAAGAAAGGCCATGTTTAAATGTTTAAAAAAATATTATTTATAGTTTTACTAATTTTCAAATTAAATAATACATTTAAAATCTCATAATACAAAATAAAATACCATAAATAACAAAGATAATTCATTTCGTTTTCTTGTTTCAACATTTCCCCATCTTCTACATCAAAGTCCTCTGTATTGACTCTTTCACCCCTTTCATTTCTTCTTGCTGAGCTGGCAGTGATCACCTGTTTGATTTTTTTAACAATGCTTCTAGCTTGATTTTCATGTAAAAGGGACCCACAAATTTTTACACATTCCTTGAGTGAATCAATCATAGTTGAGCAAATTTCAGTCTCAGGTTCCTAAAAGACAAAATCCAGTAAATAAAGATTCATATGAGCAAATATAAGTCAACAAAAATGGGGAATGACGAAAATAACCTTGTGAAGAGCCTCTACTAAAGCTGGTATGATATAGTCTGACAACTGTTTACATATGACTCATTGCGACCCTGAGATTGCTCCTTTTCAACAGCTAGTTTTGCTGAACGAATAAGCTCACGCATAGCTAAAAAGTGAAATAAAAAGTAAACACTCAGAAAGAAAATAAAAAAATAACAGTTAAACTTATCAGGGGTAAAAGAGGTATTTCATTTCACCTGAAATTGTAGCCTTCCTAACTTCTTCATGGAAATAGAATTTAAGAAGTGGTACTAATGTTGGTACAACCTGTCTTTTATTAAAAAGTTAAGCCGGTTTTTTTCAAATGTAAAAAGACAAGAAAGGGTAAAAGAGGAATTTCATTTCACCTGATCAATCCATGGGAAAAACCCTTCTTTTAATTAATCAGCATAGCAACACCAAAGGGGTAAAATGCTCATTAACTCTCTTATCTCCAAGTGTAGCTTTCTCCTCAAGGACGCTGGTTTTGATCCCTATTCTCTTATCTCCAAGTGTAATAGTCTCAATGCTGCAATATCAAAGGGTAAAATGGTCATTAACTCTCATTCAAGCATTTCATTTATTAAAAAACACACCTTTCATCATCAGACTTGTCAATATCATCATCTGAATCATCAACAGAAGTAATTGTAACATATGGTTTAAGTTGAACAGAATGAAGCAATGGTGGCATCACAACACTCATGTAAGGGAGAAAATCTTACCCTAGGCACTTGCAGAGTCTTGCCCATGTCTACAACAAAAATATATAATTATAAATTTATAAACTTTAATTCAATCTGTTTTAAAAGAGTAAGTTTAATAACAAAAGAAAAGAAGCATACTTGTAACATGTAGCTTATTGTTGGATCATCTGTCTCCAATTAGGAACCTTGAAGTGACATAAGGACATCCATAACTTTGAAACATATAATAAATTATAAATTTCCAAGATGAAAAAAACAAATTGTAAAGCCCAAGGTACAACAAATAATGCTTATTATCTTAAAAAACAAGGAGACATGATCCTGACCCTTAATTATTAAGTGAATGGTATAGATAGGTCCATGTTGGCAATCTGTGTGCTGAATGAATCTTTGATCAAAAACATACTCCCCAAAAGAAAACTCTTTTGAGTTACTGGATTAGTTGATTCAAAATTTGAATCTTGATCTTAAAATTTTCAAAATCTCACACTCTCTCTCTCAAGAATTTCCATCGATCACATGTTTCATCTCCCACTTGGTCCACCTGTGTCGCCTTCTCCGCCACATACAACGAATTCGTCATCCACCGCTTGATCCACCGGTGTCGCCTTCTTCGCTTCCACTATCTGCATCTCACCACCGCCTTCATTTGGCACCACCATCCACCAGAGTAACTTTTTCCAATTCCAAAATGACACTCTATTTCTTCTTCTATATATGTAAGTAACTTAACCACCACGAACCATTTATTTCATGCTCTCTTTCTCTACTTTAGAAACTGGAAAGATACATAGGAAAGACACAAACCGCCATCACCACCGCTGTAGAATAAAACATCTCGCGATTATATATCTTCCCCAGTCGCTCTACACACGTAAGTTATACTTCTATTTTTTGTTGTTTTTCTTCCTTAATGAAGACAGACAATTTAGGGGTTTTATGTTTTTCTTATTTGGTTCATGTTTATTGAATGTCTTTCTTGTTTCTCCAGGGGATTTTGTCATTTGTTATGATTGAAATCGAACATAGGATTGTTGTTTCTAACATTCAAATCGAACAGGTTCACATTTCAAGCTTCCCTAATCCACAAACTCTGAACAAGAAACAGACCAGGAACACAAAAAATATGGTGCTTCATTTTGAAAACACGACCACTCTTCTCTACTGTGTTGATTCGTGGATCTGATCTAGATCCGGACACCACCATCATCATTTTTCTCTTTTTTTCTTTTCTTTTCTGATTTTGTTTCTAACTTGCATCGCAGGTACAAGTTATGACGAGATTTTCAATTTCATCATGGTCATGGTCATAGTCTTCTTTGGCTTCAGTTATCAGATTCACCATCAAGCACCTTTTTATGATTTCCCTGGCAACAATCTTGATTCTCTTATAATCTTGTTTTTTCCCATTAAAATGTTGTGTTTTTGTTACTCATAATCTTAGGATCTATGTTGTTTTTGTTCTAAGTGTAGGTTTTGTTCTAAAATCGAACATTTAGATGGTTCATTTAATTCTCTGTTACTCAAAATCTCTCAAAAGCAAGTAAATCGTGCTTGAAATTGCATTTTCATGAACCTGAAAAATGGGTTGGAACCTGTTTCCGCTTAAACAATAGAAAGATTAAGAAGCAATAAAACAAAACAAGAAACTATGAAATTTGTTTCATAGTTTGTTTTTACTTATGGTTGTCTATTTAAATAACAACCATTTATACCATTTTAAATTTTAAATTTCACTTAGTGTTGCAACTAACTTCACTCCTTCCAGGTGGTTTTCTTCTTCTTTCTATACTAAAAATTTGTTTTTTGCTACTCAAAACTCACCAGGACAAATGAAAAGATAACTAATATTGATCTGTCTATTTACTTATTGTGGTTGTAGGTGCCTCAATCAGATTGTATCACTTATGGATTCTGGCTCATTTGAATGCAGAAACTATACTGTTAGTTTGTGAGACAAGAAGCTCCTAATAAATGTATATTCACTTACATAAGGCATTTTTATTCATTCGATGTCTTTGATTATTTTAATCTATGCTTGAAATGTTTTGCTGAGACTAAAATGATGCACTTTCAGTAATGAAAAGTAGTCAAGAAATGTTTATAAAAATATCAGATAAAGGGCAATTTTTAGTCATTTTAATTGGAATAGGGTATGGAAAATCAATTTAAGGACCAAATTGCAAATGGATTCCTTTTGAGACTAAAACCGGAAAAAGGTGCTAAAATCAGGGACCAAATTTATTATTTACTCATGGTCAAGCATATTTTGGAAAACAGGTCGAGTTTTATGCGAAATATGATAAAAAAAAAATATGCTTTCTTTCTTTCGGAGTAGTCAACATTACATGCTTGAAAAGGTTTGCAAAATTATGACTCTGAATATCTAATTTTTCATGTTTTTTTATGCTGGCTTCAACTTCTCCAATTAGGCCTATGAAGTTTGTCTTACGAAAGATTTACTAAGAGAGCAAGATTTTGTCTTTGGAAGGATGCGAAATGCAAAACCAGCCCTTGCTATAGAATAGCTATCATAGGTTTTAATATAAACTGTAATAGTATTATTATAAAGCTGCCAATTTGTTTGCTCAAGGAGATAAAGGCATAAAGTTGTAAAATAATATTGTTCAAAGATATAAAATATGCGAAGACTATTCGTATACAGGTCTATCTTATCCTATAGCTTTTATTATTTTTATATTATAAAATATTACAATGTTCAAACAACAAAATGTTAATGAAGTTAACCTAATGAAATATAATATATAAGTAATCAAGTTAAATTGTAATTATATGATGAAATATAGGACTGTTTTTAATTAAAAATATAAAATTTTCATTTTTATTTTTGAAGTCGCTTTAATGTTATAAAAGTAATTATATAAATTAGCTTAGTCAATATACATCGTAAATTTTTATTTATTTTTCAAATAAAAGTAAATCAAAAATATATAAGATCATGCGAGTAAAACTTTAACTTTGAATAAACTTTTATATTGGTTTTCAACAAAACTGAATTATTATTTTGAATAGTCCAAAAAAACCGAATAAACAATTATTTATTTATTTATTTATTTTTAATATATATCTATAATTATTTATTAATTTCGTAATTTATTCTTTAAAATAAGCTCAAAACATTTCACTCGATAAGAAAACATTAATATGCATTTTTTGTCAAAAGTTTTCTACTTATAAAATATTTAACTATAATATAACTTCTTAGTAGTTGTTTATAAATTTCAAATCACAATTAAATAATTTGTTTTCACTTTTGTGCAAAATCGGGTAATATTATAATTATATGTCGTTTAAAATGTTTTGGTTTTGAAAACCGATCCCAACCGAATTGTAATTATATTGGATCGGATCTAATTTGAATTCAATTTGGACTATTCGGATCAATGTTTTGAAAACTGAAATCAATTTGGATTCACTTTATTGGATCAGATCAAATTGATCCATCCAAACGAACACCCCTACCGAAACTAATCGTCGGAATGAAACAAATCGCCGCCACCGCATCGCGCGGGTACGCTACTAGTATATATATATATATATATATATATATATATATATATATATATATATATATATATATATATATATATATATATATATATATATATATATATAAATAAAAGTATACCTGTTTAGCATCATCTTTGAACTTATCTTTTCCAATAGCCATTCCAACTAAACTAATACACTGCATGGATTTGGCACGAAGCATACAATTAGCTTTATCAGTTGCATTCATGAGTATAGCTCTCAAGTAAGGCAGAACTGCATCCTAATACTTTTGAAAATGCTCCTGTAAAATCATAAACTATGTGAGAACCAATTTAAAGAAAATAAACAAGTTGGTGAGAGAATATGAAGACGAATAATACCTAAGATGAATCAGCAATAGATGCCAAAGCAGTCAAAGCTCCCTCTTACACCATCTGCTTTGGATTCTGGAAATACAAAAATGATTCAGTATTCATATATTCATATCTTTTAAGGTTACTACAAAATTATTTATACCTGTAAAAGTACAATTAATTTCCCCACAATCCCATCCAAGTAAGGTTGTAGAAGTTCTAATGTACAATTTTCACTGAAGTTGAGCACTATTGAACTCGATTTAGAAATCGCTTTAACTTCAAACAAAGGTTCGCTCGTAATTGAATGTCTCACTGATTGGTTCGAAAGTCAACACTTTCGTTCAGAGTTTTGCAATTGGAATCTGAAATCAGTCACACGAATCTGAATCAAAGTTCAGATGTTCGTGTTCTTGGGTCACTGAATTGTCATTAGATTCGTAGTTCACGGTCTTAGAATTAGAGGAAATTACTTTCGTTTTCTAGGAATTTAATCGATTCGCATGTTTGGTAAATATTCTTCGTTCGTATCTTTCATGGAGGATGGGATCGGAGGTTCGTAGTTGGTGGTCTAATTTTGACATTCCAAAGTACGAACAGTGCCTGAAAAACACGCATACATGATACAACAATGAAATCCACAAATACATATCAAAAGATAAAAAAACATATCATTACTCATTAGTAGTATCTTTACTAACCTGAACTCGTGGATTATGGAAATCATCCATTGTTGAAGCTAGTGATGGAAGAACAAGATGATGATATTGGTTTTGCAAGTCTGGGCCCAAGTCTCTCTCTCTCTCTCTCTCTCTCTCTTTATCTCTCTGTCTCTCTCTCTCTCTTCGGGAGAGTTCAATTTCACCATTTATTTCCACCATAGACGCCACCTATTAAGGGTTCGCAGATGATGAATTTATGAAAATGGTGAATTTCCCTTTTCCGTGACCGATGTCATGAACAACATTTGTTACAGCCGCCTTCGATCCTAGATTGTCTTTGAATCTCTCAGGAGTTCCTAGCCTGATAATGATCTCGATTCCGGATCCTTTGAAAGCTTTGTGAACTTCATGATCGGCATCGTAGATTGCAAGAAATGAGGAGTGGTGATGATATTAGGGTTTTTTTAGGTATTGATAAGTGAGAGAGAAGAACTATGGAAATAAGGCAGAGGATAAAATGGCGTCCTTTCAAAAATTTGGGATTCGTTTCCCCCCAAGCAGCGAAGAAGAAAATGCGCCTTTCATTAAATAAAATATGAAGCAACATCTCTACACAACACTCATTTTAACATAGGTCCCACCGTGCTTTTTTTTTTATTGGACACTAATTTTAGGGCGCAGAAAAATACGTGTCGTCTATGCTTCATTTTTTAATAAAACGGATGTTATTTTTAGGGCGCCCAAAAATGCGTATCGTCAATCACTACGTGTCGTTGTTTGCGTCTCATTAAAGGGCTGTTTTCTAGTAGTGTAAGTCCATTAAGGCGTACTTATACATAAATATGTACCTGAATATGATTTTCATAAAAATAGAAATCTAAAATAGTTTAAAAGAGTTTTTAAAATGGTTTTAACAACATTTAAGTATAAGATATCCTTTTGGTTTGTTTGTTTCCATATGCAAATGAATAGCACAATTATATAGTTTTCTACTTGTATTCTCCCCCTAAAATCTTTTAAAAGAGTAAATTGTAGGAGTATGAGCTCACCTTATGTGAGTGATTCGATTGAATGTTCGATATATATATATATATATATATATATATATATATATATATATATATATATATATATATATGTATATATATATATATATATATATGTATGTATGTGTGTGTGTGTGTCTTAATATGCTAAATAGGACTCGTTTGCGGTTATAAGGAGACTTGAAGATCTAAACTGGTTCTAAGGAGATCAAAAAGAGATTGGGTGATATTTGAGAGAGAAAAGGGCGTTCAAGGTTGATGATCTTGAGAAAGAAGGCTCGAGTTTACGATCAGAAGTGAAGAAGCGAGACAAAAATCAGTCAACACTAATATATATAGGGTAGAGATCACGGCTGAAGGGTTCACGGCTTCGGTTCACGGCCGCGAACTGTTTGCGGTCTGAGGGAGGTTCTCGGCCCGAAGCCTCGTTTGCAGCTGCGAGGGTTTGCGTTCCAAATTGATTTCCCTCCAAAACACACAACACCTAATAATGCTAGGTTTATACACCATTAATTTCATTAACCTAACTATATTAAGATAATGAAAGAAATAAGTTTGACCTTTGATTGATATGTTTGACTTTAGCTGACCAAGTTTGACTTTTACAAGAACGAAATTACAGGTTGTCACATCATCCCCCGTTAAAGGGAATTTCATCCTGAATTTAAGACTAAGAAAATACACATGGACTAAGGGAAAAGATGAGGATATTTATGTTTCATTTTATCCTCCCACTCCCAAGTGAATTCAGGTCCCCGCTTTGCATTGCATTCCAACGAACCTTCACTATTGGAACACGGCTGTTTGGTTTGCTTGACTTCCCTATCCATGATTTCTACCGGTTCTTCCACGAAGTTGAGGCTCTCCTTGTTGTTGATTTCCTCAAGAGAAATAACAAGATTCTCATCAGATAAACATTTATTTAAGTTTGATATGTGGAATGTTGGGTGTACGTTGTTAAGTTCTTGAGGTAGTTTGAGTTTGTAAGCTACGGGGCCGATTCGTGTGAGAATTTCAAAAGGCCTAATTTACATTGGATTCAATTTACCACGCTTTCCGAAATGTATTATTCCCTTCCATGAAGATACCTTTAATAGAATACAGTCGCCAGCCTGGAATTCCAAGGGTTTTTGTCGGTTATCTGCGTAGCTTTTCTGTCTGTCTCGCGAGGCTTTATGTCGCTCCCTAATTTGCACTATCTTCTTTATAGTCTATCAGATGATTTCTGGACCGGTGAGAGCGATGTACGGGACTTGACCTTTAGCTAACTGAGTATCACCCACTTTCAGCCCAACATATAGCTGATCTGCACTTGCGGCTATAGAGGGCTTCGTGTTGAGAAGCCTTTATGCTAGAGTGATAACTATTATTTTAGCAGAAATCAACAAGGGGTAAATGAGTATCCCATTCCTTTCCAAAGTCTATCACACAGGCTCACAACATATCCTCTAGAGATGGATAGTCCTCTCACTCTATCTGTCAGTTTGCGGATGGTAGGTTGTACTCATATCCAGCCTAGTTCCGATTGCCTTATATAATGACTGCCAAAACCTCGAGGTGAATCTACTATTTCTATCAGAGATGATAGATATGGGCACACCATGCAATCACACTATCTCTCTCAAGTAGGTTCTGGTCAGTTTCTCCATTTTTTTGGTTTCCTTAATTGGTAGGAAGTGCGCGGATTTGGTTAGTCGATCAAAACATGCATGGAAAAATACTTCGCCTTATGATGATCTAGTGGCGAGGACTAAATCGATTTTAAGAAAAATTACCCTTCGATGATTTGGAGGTTTTATGTTTTGTCTACATTTTTATCGTCCAGAAAAGTTGAGACGTTTTGAATTGTTGAACAACGAAACGCCAACATGACATCAGAGACATGATGTCGCCTTAACGATATACAATGCACAAAGACTAAAGTTCCTTTGAAATCATTCCAAATATGTGATTACTAAGGGTAGTTGTGTCAAAACACATTATTCAAAAATTATAACCTTTTATAGGTCAAAGTGGACCTCTGACTATTGAAATGAAAAAGACTAAAATAACATATATATCATAATTCATAATACAATACATTTATATTCACATTTCACCAAATTACTACTATATATT